ATGAAATAAATAAATTACACCAAGTAACCAAGTAAATGCATAAAATGCGCTTTTCTTTCCTAAAAATTTTACTTTTATCTTAGAGCAGTATAAAAATTTAGTAGATGTTGTTTTATAAATAAAAAAAAAAAAAAAGGTAAACAAATATAAAAATTGGGGCTTCTGCATATCTTAAACGATTACCATGCTGGACCTTACCCCCTACTTTAACTTTTAATGTTATGGACGTTAGAGGGATACAGAAAAATTACGTTATCATCTTAGATAAAAATGCGATCAATGTAAGAGCTTTGCGATAAATAAACAAGCTCGATGCACGGTATTTCGAATTTTTCTATCATTTATTCGTCATGTGGTACTACAGTGACGAAGAGGTTCAAGACCTTTAGAAACGCTGATTGTAAAACAAACATAATCATCTGCACTGAGCCATCGCGCTCAACGCGTGAGATTTTTTTGTGTTTTTAAAATTATTTTTAATTTTTTGGTTGATAGAGCTTTGTATGGATTAACTGCTGTTCCTTTCAGTAAAATCTGACACGTCAGAGAAGTTTTTCGCATAAACGCACTTGACGCGTTTAATTGTAATTTTATTTATTATTTTTTATTTTTTTATTTCCGTAAATCAGACTTAATAGTTTGATAAAATAAAAAAATTCGACCAAGTAAATGCGTGGAATGAGCTTCTTTTACAGTATTTAAAAAATTAAAATTTCATTCCCAAGTAGTTTAACGTTAAAAGATTAAGAGTTTTACTGAGTATTCGAGCTTAACGCATGAGACCCTCTAACATTCTGGTTTTTTTTATCAGGCGATGCATGTTAAAAAAAATTTGAATTAAATGTTTTTTTTGTGAAATTTACTGAGAAAAAAATATGCACTGTATAAGCGTAGTGGACGTGCGTAATCATTCCTTAAAAATCAGATCTCTGGTTAAAATACTTTGGCCTTGCTATTTAAATTTTGCGCTGGTACGGTAACTGATCAAATCTCTGCAGTCGGTAACCTTTTCTCCTGGCATACCTATTACCACCTTTCCCGTTAAAGAGTTTACGCGTAGTTGCCCCTCCACAATACTTAGGCCCCGCCTCCTGAGGCTAAATGCTCTGTGATTGGAGGAATTGATCGATTATTAAATCAACAATATTTAGTTAATTATCCATCGAATCCAAATTTTGTAAACAGCTTTTCGAGAGCTTTTGATGAGCTTTATCTCGTGATATAGTTTTTCGGGCTCAAAATCAGAACGCCCTGTATTTATTATAACCAATGTAATCTTCAGTAAAAGAGGTAATTTTAAACAACACAAAAAACTGTTAAAATTTTTTGTTGGGAAATAAAAGTATGCCAGACGAATGAAAATGAAAGTATTTGTTCATATGTTGACAAACAAGAAAGTTTAAGACTTTTTCAATTAAAAGTTGAGTTCACAGACTAAAGTGGTATTTTAAAATAATGCTATTTTGCTAAGTAAGAAAATCACAAACTTATTTTTACGTTATGTACAAGATGAGTTCTCGTAGTTTTTCAATTCGTCAATCACTAATAGCTTAAGATAGTATCATTGTTGTAACTCCTGATTCACTAATATAATTACTTAATTAATAAAATAACAACGTAAGTACAATGGTAATATAAGGGTTTCGGAAAACCATTTTTTTGTTTTAAAAAACCACATAGTGTTTGCGAATCCTATACTATAAAAAACTATGAAGATTTCAACAAGACGGAAAATTTTCAGATAATATAGCTTTATGGTTTTTGTAAAAACAATCGTTTAATTTTATTAATGCTGTATAGAGAAGTTTAAATATCCTTACTCATACTTGTTATTCATGCATGTTTGACTAGTTCAATATAGAAAACATAAATCCATACAATTTAGATCTACACACCAACACTGTAGGAAACTTTCTAACCTTCTACAATAGTGTTTTTTATTTAACTTTTTATCTCATAAGAACAAAATCACGTTCAAAATTCTCAGATATTTGTTGAATTGAGCTTACTATCTGCTCTCAGTCGTACATAATCAAATAGTTTCACTATTATATTTATCGTATCTCATTGCGTTCATTACAGAAACACAATTTATGATAAATTTTAGTAACTATACTGTCATTTTCTTAGTATCACGATGTACTTACTGCATATTGAAATATGGTACAAGAATCTTTGAAATGTATTTATAAACTCAAAACCTAAAACTAACAAGCTGCAAGTTATACTTAACCTACAAAAATCAGTACAAAAATTTCTTACTTAGATATTTATCAAATATTCATCACTTTATTAAGATTAAGGTAACAGTAGCATTTTAATACATTCTAGTTAAAAAAAAAAAAAAACCTATGAATACATAGTAGTTGTATAAAATACCGATTTTGATGATGGGAAGTAACTGCATAAGAGGTTCTAGGAGTTTTTTTTTTGTTAAAGTCGATTCGCAAGATATCTCTTGAAAATACACAAGGCTTTCTTGATTTATTTGAATCAGTTACTGGCAAAGATAGTTGTGAATGAGGAGTAACGCCATGTTCAGAAAATCTGTTTTTTATATCATTTGAACTTGATATTTGTAAACTGGACAAGTTAAGTAATGCTGGTGAAAGAAGTATAATAGGAACATCTTCTAATTCATTAGCAGGTATTTTTATCTTGGAACAACATCGTACACAAATTGTCCTATTGCACAGCTTGCAGCAACGACTTTGTGGTCCAAATAATCCAAAACGAGTTTTCAGACACAAGAAACATACTTTTCGTTTTTGTACGTCTTCTTTAATATGATTTTCCTCAGGCAATGATTCTTCTTCAGCTCGAGTTAAGACTTTTCTTATGTGAATAACTTCTTTCAATGTCAATGAACTGCCATCATCATACAGCATTTTCAATATTGCATGATTATACTGAAAAAAATTAAAATTCAAGACTTATCAAAGATTTTATTTAACATATCGTATTAATATGCAAATTATACATTATGTAGTTACTATTTCTTATGAATAGTAAATAATCGCTTGAGCTGTAGCTTTGCTTTTCGTAGTGTTATTTTTACTCAAATCTATACACTGTTTTCATGTAAATCTTTTCATAACTAGCGCAAAATGTCCTGACATTTAGATTTCCATAAATAAAAATTCGAGCATAATCGCTATAAAAAGTTAACGAATAGTTCTTAAGAATAATAATTTATTATAAAAATATACCTTCCATGAAATGATACTGTGTAGAAAGGTGGTGCTATTATCGTTGGAATGAGTTTATACTTACATTAATTAAGTATGGTTTCAATAAATATATTAATATTAAATATCGGAATAATAATAAACAAAACATATAATAGCACAATATAATACAAACACTATGGAGGCTGGCCAGTACAAAATTATGCACTTCAAACGAATCATCCGATAGTTTCAAAACAACTGCCTACTGCCTATGCGGATTACATCTACAGTGTCACGCTCACATTTATCACTTACTTTAACACTTTTGTTCCTAGTCCATATTTAACACCCAAAATATAATTATATCTCAAAAATGAAGACAAACCATCCTGTAGTACCACTTTTTTTGATAGCACAGTAGTACATGCTAGTAGATGTCCCTTCAGGACGTTTAATACACATCTATTTTTTACAAATATTATTTAAGCAACAAAAGTATACTAAAAATACTTAAAAAAATACCCCCAAAAAGTTGCAGATGGTTCAACGGTCCTCTTTTTCACATATTTAATTTTTAATTTGCAATGTAACATGTAACCTTATGGAAAAATCACTTAAAATTGCATTCACAAGATCTGTATAAATTTCCCAATTTTTGTTTGTATGAAAGATTACTTTTATATAAACCTATGAACCTACTTCATTTTCAAGTAGATCTTAAATTTGTTTTTTTTTTGTTTTCTTTGCGTGTGCGTAACAACGTGAAAGCAAGTTCGTTCATGTGAGAAAAATAGTTTTCAGCGTTCCTACATTTATTTGCGCTTCTCCCACCTCTCTAAATTTTGTTCTCAATTACAAAGAAAAAATTGCCAAAGAAGAAAACGCAATAAAAAGTAATTAATGCATTTATACAGTACGGAAATTTTTTTTTTAAGTATGAAAATTCTGAAAAAGTATCAAAAAATTGTATTAACAATTACCTCCTTATTGTAAAAGTAATTAATTAATTGTAAGTAAAAAATGTATATTAATGCAAATAAAAGCTGCTCTGCTGGTGTATAATTAGTTCTAAGTTTTTGAAAAAACTATGTACCAAAAAATGTATATTAATAACTAACTAACTTATTTAATAATATCAAAGGTGAAACTTCCAAACACTGCTCCACAGTCAAAAATCAATAATAACACAGTATAAAAAATTGGTTATTGGAGCATGACTTTATTTACACAACTAACATAAAAGCCAATATTTCGACGTCATGCTGACGTCAACCTTAGGGCAACTAACAAAATGTATAAACAATCATAAATACATAATATCCAAAATAAATCATAAATTACTAAGAAAAGTTTAATGTAATTACCAATGTAAGTGTTAGGATAACACGTGGCATTGCAAACGGAGCAAAAATTGTTAGTACATAATGATCAATGTGAAGAAATTACATTTAGTAAAAAGATTTTTGCTCTCACGAGGAACATAGTCAGAAACATTAAAATGCACGACCATAAACTAAATATAAGAAAGTAGACGCATATGTGAAATATGTAACAAGGTACACTGTAAGTACCATAGTGAGGAAAAATCAAGGATGTTAAACTACCAATGAAATGTGTGTAAAATGTATAAAACTTATTGAACGTAGGAAAATGTATACTACACGTGTAAAAAGACTTAATATTGTTTTCGCACAACTTTTTGCTTAATATCGTGTAAAAAATTTTTGTAAGAGACATTCAGTTTGTTAGTATCAATCTGTCTATTTACATTATTATCATAAACAAAAATATGTATAATTTCAGAAAATTCACGTTTAAATCTATTCTCCTCCCGGTCCGAAATTCTAACATTATTAAAATCAAATGTATGTTGAAATTGTATTGAATAAGAAGCAATGGCAGATTTATTATCATGGTTTTTGACTATTTGTAAGTGTTCACTTATACGAATGCCAAGCAATCTCTTACTTTGACCCACATAGCAAATACCGCATTCACACAGAATTAAATAAACTATGCCCCCCTTTTGAAGTGTAAGAGTTTTATCTTTACCTAATCGTATAATATCAGTGAATTTGTATGACTTAGAAAAATTACTCTAATATTAAATTTAGAAAAAATCTTACCTAAAAAACTTTCTAAGCTCTAAAAATACGGAAATACAATAAAAGGTGTTCCAGAACAAGAATTGCAGTACTTACAGTGTACCTTGTTATATATTTCACATATGCGTCTACTTTCTTATATTTAGTTTATGGTCTTGGATTTTAATGTTTCTGACTATGTTCCTCGTGAAAGCAAAAATCTTTTTATTAAATGTAATTTCTTCACATTGATCATTATGTACTAATAATTTTTGCTCCGTTTGCAATGCCACGTGTTATCCTAACACTTACATTGGTAATTATATTAAACTTTTCTTAGTAATTTATGATTTATTTTGGATATTATGTATTTATGATTTTTTATATATTTTGTTAGTTGCCCTGATGATGACGTCAGCATGACGTCGAAATATTGGCTTTTATGTTAGTTGTGTAAATAAAGTCATGCTCCAATAACCAATTTTTTATACTGTGTTATTATTAACTTATTCAATGTAAAAAAAACTAATTAAATAAAAACATAATAAATGGAAATTGACATTGAAAATAAGTTACGAACTGTACAACATAATGAAGTAATCGGTATTCAATTGTCGGGCCTGCTCTTAGCAGAGTGGGTTAGGGGCTCGCCCAATTTGCAAGAGGTTGGATGTTCAAATCTCCTTGAAAACTGTTTTTGAAACGAAAACTTCTTTAGGCGCGTTAGACAATTTTGAATCCAGAAAAACTCTTCAGATCACTCTCATTTACAAGCAAGGCGATCCCTGAAGAGAGTCACGTGTGAACGTAGAACGCAATTATAGAAGTATAACTTCAAAAATAAAAAGAGACACATAAAAAATAATCTCATTACAGCATGACGCAATTAATGTGTTAAAGTCTGAAGTGATTCAAGAATTAATTTAATATTTATATAAACTTATATGAACTTTGCTAAATAATGTTTCAAACTACGCATACCCAAATAAAATATTGGTAGATCAAGTAGTATTTTTCTTATTGCTTTCGTTGGGGGCACTAGGTTGGACAATAATACTTAAATAAATCATAAATGTGATGAACATATTTTGATTTTACAGTATTACGCATACAAATTATCTTTCAGATCTGACATCAACAAATTCAGTCCATACTGTATCCCTCAAAATTGATACAACTATTTTGAAGTTATACTTCTATAGGCTCGTTCTGCCCTATAGGGTAAATCAACGATTTCAGATTGGTGACCTTGAGAAAAAGTGCAATGGAAGTTAATTTTGCTTGACTCTTTCCCTTCGCCACACTCCTCTTGACGTACCTACTCCCCCCCCTCCCCTTTCAGCACAGTACACCACACAACATGACGGCACCAAACTTACTGCTGCATACGTTTTAAATTTTATTTCTTTTCTTTAAAGCAATTTCTAAGAGAGAAAAAAAAAAAAAAAAAAAAACAACAGGTGTGGGTTTCGGGACCCACGACAGATGTAAAACATTGAAGAATATGTTATTCAACTTGGTAGTATTTGATTGTCTATGATGAAAGTAGCAGTTTACGTCAAATAAGTGTCATCATCTCCAGGGCTATTTTGCAGCCCTAGGGACTTAAGAAACACGGCCTGAAGGACATAAGCCAGCCATGGAACAATGGCGGTTATGTGGCAAATCCTATTTTTTCTATCAAGCTCACACCAGCCTCTCAAAAACGCGCGAGGTAGGAGAAGTATTTAATGTTTAGACTCCAAATAATCTTCATTTCATATTTTTATATTGAAAAGACAGTTTATTTGTAAATATGTATTTTGATAAGTGAATGATACAGATTAGGAGAAAGAAAGTTTTGTTTATTTTTATTATTTTTTTATCATTAACGTATAAACAACGAGAACGAGAAAAAACAATAATAGACGGCGAAGAGTATCTACACTACCTACGTGTACAAAGGTTTATACATCAGTTGTACAAACGTTCGTGTGAATTACTTTCTCTGTCTCTCTGTCTCTTTTTAGATTCAGATACCTGTTTACTGTTCATAGTAACGCACGTACGTGAATTTCGTTGGGTTGGCTCTTTACTATAGACGGGTTAAGATGGAGTTTGAATAAAGACAATTGGAAGCTTAATTTTTCCGATTTTTGCGCACTGTTTCTGTATTTCTAGGGCTCAATACTTTATTGAGGATGGAGGATAGACCTGGAGAAATCTGCTACCCTAGTAGCATATCCTAAGTTTTGGAAAGCATACTTTTCTTACGCAATTTTTACGCAACTGCGTAAGAAATGCGTAAGAAGGGCACTGGTCTGCTTCTCAAAACTTACGATGTGCTTCTCGGGTACTTTGTACCATTTACAGAATTTGAAGTATGGGTTTGACCTACAAAAATTTATGACTATAGTAGTACTCATGTGCAAAATGCCTAAAAATGTGTAATACACAAACTCATCTAAGAGTACTACTGTATTGCATGTTCATACCGTAAACATAACTGACTCAGGAGAGTTCATAAAGAAACTTTTTTTAATTTCAAGAAATTAACTCGGTAAACAGTTATGTTTTTACCATTTCTCTATGAAACAATCGCAACACATGTAGAATGTAAATTAATACCTCAGTTCCAGATTATAAAAAAACAATGCTCATGTTATGCATACCAAG